ATTTTGTATTTTTTTTTTTAGTAGAGACAGGGTTTTTCCATGTTGGTCAGGCTGGTCTCGAACTCCCGACCTCAGGTGATCCACCCATCTTGGCCTCCCAAAGTGCTGGGATTACAGGTGTGAGCCACCACGCCTGGCCAGGAGTGGTTTTAAGTGGTCATTAGATTGAGAGTGAATATGTCAAAGCAGCATACCTCTAAGAGAGACCAAACTGTAATAGGCAGGGATGATTCTGCATTGCAGCAGAGTGATATGGTTTGATGAAGCAGAAGTCAGTGAGTGGTGTGGCCACACTGACAAGCAATATGAATGCCTAGTCGGTGGTTAGGACAAGGAACTAAGACACTTAAATATGCAACAAAGTATGAAGGAGCATTTGTATAGGATTCAAGCATTAGGTGGGTGGTTGGACTTCACACATGTTGAAGCTTTTTCAACCAACCTGAGACTCTGATTCTGTTTGGCGATTCATTCTCAACACTGCCACTGAATGGCAAACCTGAAAAAGCCATTTATGAAGGGACCACCAACTTCTTCTTCTTTTTTTTTTTTTTTAAAGACAGAGTTTCACCATGTTGGTCAGGCTGGTCTTGAACTCCCGACCTCAGGTGATCCACCCATCTTGGCCTCCAAAGTGCTTGGATTACAGGTGTGAGCCACCGCGCCCGGCCAGAACCACCAAATTCTATTCACCAAAGTACCAATATACCAAATATGCCAAGCCTTTGAGACATAAAATTCAAACAGCAAACACCCAAGAAACTGAACAATTAACTAGGCTCTTCAAATATTTCATATATTCATTAAGTACTGGGTAAATAAAATATATAAAATCTTTGAAAAAAGTCTAGGCATTGCTTGACATTGATATTGTTATTCATTGAATACAAAATTATTTGTGGGCTGGGCGTGGTGGCTCACGCCTATAATCCCAGCACTTTGGGAGGCCGGGGCGGGTGGATCATGAGGTCAAGAGATTGAGACCATCCCGGTCAACAAGGTGAAACACCGTCTCTACTAAAAATACAAAAATTAGCTGGGCATGGTGGTGCGTGCCTGTAGTCCCAGCTACTCAGGAGGCTGAGGCAGGAGAATTGCTTGAACCCAGGAGGCAAAGGTTGAAGTGAGCTGAGATCGCGCCATTGCACTCCAGCCTGGGTAACAACAGCGAAACTGTCTCAAAAAAAAAAATTGTGTTATCAGTAGCCCCTTTTAGCTGATTAATGGATGTGGTCACTGTCTTAAGCTCTCTTTATATATATATATATGTTCATGTATATATGTGTGTATGTATAGCTTTCAAAGACCAATCAGCCGTTAAACTTGCTAAAAAGACACTCAACTTCATTTGAAAATGCACTTTAAATCTACTCTGAGACTGGGCTGGGCACCGTGGCTCACGCCTATAATCCCAGCACTTTGGGAGGCCGAGGCGGGTGGATCACGAGGTCAACAGATCGAGACCATCCTGTTCAACATGGTGAAACCCCATCTCTACTAAAAATACAAAAATTAGTTGGGCATGGTGGCGTGTGCCTGTAGTCCCAGCTACTTGGGAGGCTGAGGCAGGAGAATTGCTTGGACCCAGGAGGCGAAGGTTGGGTGAGCTGAGATCGCGCCATTGCACTCCAGCCTGGGTAACAATAGCTAAACTCCATCTCAAAAAAGAAAAAAAAAATCTACTCTGAAACTATTTGTCACTTTGATTGAAAAAAATCCAAGTTTGATGGATTTTGTTGTCAGGACAGTGGGGAAACAGGCATTGTCTTACATTGCTGGTGGCTGTGTAAAATGGTACAACACCTATGAAGGGCAACCTGGCAGTATCTATCAATACTTCAGTGCATAGGCCCTTGCTCCACCAATTCCACTTTGTGGAACTTATTCTTGCAGATACACTTGCAAAGTAACAAAATTGCAGTTTATTCATTTCAGCATTCTTAGCAACAGCAAAAGCCTAAAAACAACTTGTTTACCAATGCAGGACTGGTTATATATATTATTGAAATACTATATAGCTAAAAATGAATTTTATAAAGAATGAAGAAGCTACCTACTGACTGAGAAATTACTTCGAGGCCAGGCTGTAATCCCAGCACTGTGGGAAGCCAAGGTGGGAGGCTTGAGCTCAGGAAGTTCAAGAGCAGCTTGGACAACATGGAGAAACCCCATCTCCACCAAAAATAAAAAACTTAACTAGGTGTGGTGGCTTGTGCCTGCAGTTCCAGCTACTTGAGAGGCTGAAGTGGGAGACGGCTTGAACCTGGGAAGTGGAGGTTGTAGTATGCCGAGATGGTGCCACTGTACTCTAGCCTGGGCAACAGAGTGAGACTCCTTCATCTTAGGAAAAAAAAAGAAAAGAAATTGCTTTGAAATGTATTAAATGAAAAAGGTGTATGCTGCATGCTCCTTTATGTATATAATAATCTCTGGAAAGACACACAGGAAAACAATAGTGGTTACTTTTAGGGGGCTGAGGATGGATGGCAACTGGGCAGATGGAGGCAAAGGGGTAGGAGACTTTTCACTATAAACATCTATCTATCCATCCATCCATCCATCCATCCATCCATCCATCTTAGAGACAGGGTCTCACTCTGTCACCCAGGCTGGTCTTGAACTCCTGGCCTCAAGCTATCCTCCTACTTTAGCCTCCCAAAGTATTGGGATTACAGGCAGGAGTCACCATGCCAGGCCTAAAAAATATTTTGAATCAAGTTTCCATATTACCCACCTTAAAAAATATTTTTAAATTCATTTTTAAAATAAGTTTAAAAAAAAAATTTAAACCAGAATTGTTTTTCATTTAAAAAGATGTAAGCCAGGTGCAGTGACTCACACCTGTAATCCCAGCACTTTGGAAGGCCACAATAGGAGGCTTCCTTGAGCTCTGGAGTTCGAGACCAGCCTGGACAACATAGTGAGACTCTGTCTCTACAAAAAATAAAAAAATTAACCAGGATGGTGGCATGTGCCTGCAGTCCCAGCTACTTGGGAGGCTGAGGTAGGAGGATCACTTGAGTCCAGAGGTTGAGGCTGCAGTGAGCTGTGACTGTGCCACTGCACTCCAGCCTCAGTGACAGTGCAAGACACTGTCTCAAAAAAAAAGAAGAAAAAAAAGATGTGCATAGTACATTCCAGACAATGGAGTATTATTCAGCAACAAAAAGAAAGAAACTATCATGCCACAGAAAGACATGAAGGAAACTTAAATGCTTACTGCTAAGTTAAAGAAGCCCATCTGAAAAAATTTACACACTATGTATGACTCCAACTACATGGTATTCTGGAAAAGGCAAAACTTTAGAGACAATAAGATCAGTGGTTGTCAAGGACTGCAGGGGAGGGAGAAGGATCAATAGGTGGAGCACAGAGGTTTTTTTAGGGCAGTGAAACTATTCTGTATGACAATGGAATGGTGAATACATGATGTTATGCATTTGTCAAAAGACACAGAACTGAAAAACATAAAGAATTAACCCTAATGTAAACTATGGACTTTAGTTATTTTATCCAGTGTAACAAATGTACTGCAGTAATATAATGAGAACACATGGACACAGGGAGGGGAGCATCACACACTGGGGTCTGTTGGGGGGAAATAGGCAAGGGACAGTGTGGGGTGGGGAGCTGGGGAGAGATAGCATGGGGAGAAATGCCAGATATAGGTGAAGGGGAGGAAGGCAATCAATCACGCTGCCATGTGTGTACCTATGCAACAATCTTGCATGTTCTCCACATGTACCCCAAAACCTAAAATGCAATAAAAAATATAAATAAATTTAAAAATCCCAAAACACACACACAAAAATAAATAAATAAAATAATAATAAGGGAATCTGGCCAGGCATACTGGCTCACACCTGTAATCCTAGCAATTTGGGAGGCTGAGGCAGGTGGATCACAAGGTCAAGAGATCAAGACCATCCTGGCCAACATAGTGAAACCCCGCCTCTACTAAAAATACAAAAAACTAGCTGGGCGTGGTGGCACTTACCTGCAGTCCCAGCTACTCGGGAGACTGAAGCAGGAGGACTGCTTAAGGCAGAGGTTTCAGTGAGCAGAGATTGCGCCACTGCACTCCTGCCTGGTGACAGAATGTGGCTGTTTCAAATAATAATAATAATAATAATAGAGGAAACTGTGAATGAGGGAGGCCCAAGGTGTATGGGAACTCACTGTACTATCTAGTCAATTTTCTGTAAACTTAAAACTTCCCTTAAAAAAAAAGTCTATGAATTATTTAAAATGTGTATTGTGTGCATTTATGTGTGTGTGCATATCTATGTGGGCGTATGCCTTTTTCATTCATTAAATTCCTTATACACTAAAGATGCTCAACAAAGTACTACACATACAGTCTCAGCTCAAGAGCTAAGTCAAGGTCTCAAGTTCTGGAGTGGGCAAATCCAGTTCTGATCCTAGTGCTACCATTTTCTAGCTGTGTGGCCTAACCTATGCCAAGATACCTCTTCAGCCCCAGTTTCTCCACCTGCAAAACTGGAAGAAAACACAGTAATTTCTCCTAGGGCTGTTGAGAAGTTCAAATAAAGAATAATGCATGTAAAATGCTTAGCACAGTGCCTAATGAAAAAGAAAAGCTGGAAATGTTTGCTGCCGCTGTAACGGTAAGACAGTTATTGAGGAATGACTGATTTGGCACTTGAATTTCCAAGGTTATTCTTACTCCACTACCAGCATATCAGTAATACCCCAACAGAGCCCCAAATCCTTAACTCCAACCTGACCCAAGTTGAACACAATCCACATTGCCTGAGTTCCAGCCCCTACACTTCAAACATTCTTTACTCCCCAGGTGCTTTTTTCCTCCCGGCTCGGCCTTACGGGCTCAGGCCCTGGAACCCCCGCCTCTCCGCCCCTCCCCATTCCACCCGGACCCGATCCCACACAAACCCCGCCCCCGCCCCCGCCTCCTCCCAGACCCCGGCCTAATTCGTCTGCACATCTTTTTTTTCCCCAAAGTTGAAGGGGGCACCTACCCAGATACTCATAGTCCGGCAGGGCTAGGCGCTCGGGACTCAGCATCCTTTGACCCGGGTAGCTTCAAAGCTCCAGCTCTCCGGCTTCCGGAACTCAGGTTGCCTTCTCTCTCCGTTACCATGGCACCCACGCGGTGGGAGGGGGCGGGACCCGGAGGAGGTGTCACACAAACAGTCTCCGTGTAGCAAAGTGGAGCTGGCCACTCAAGTTCCGAGGGCAGTCGCTTCACGACGGTCCAGGTTTCTTTGGACTCCCATTCTTGAAGACTTGGTTTTAGAGGAATCGGAGATGCAGAATTCTTTTGAATCCGTTGTTTCCCGATGTCGAAGAATTACTGTCTGCCGCCCATACACGGAGTTACTGAATTTCATAACTATCCCTGCTTTTATACAGTTATCCTAACTCATTAATAGCCCCCACCCTTTGGCCCTCATAAACACTTAGTAACCCGTTACCTATTTCTAGCTCTTTGATATTTACTATCTTAAATTGCTGCAAAGTGCTTACGTATGCATATACCCTAGCTGCTTCTAGAGGTCAGGAGTGTGTCTTTTATGCCTATGACTGCTGGATACACAAAAGGTACTCATTAAGTCCTCTGAGATCATTGCCATTTCTTCTCCGTTCTGGCTCTGTCGCCCAGGCTGGAGTGCAGCGGCTTGATCTCGGCTCGTGGCAACCTCTGCCTCCAGGGTTTAAGTGATTCTCCTGCCTCAGCCTCCCGAGTAGCTGGGAGCACAGGCACCCGCCACTACACCCGACTAATTTTTTGTATTTTTAGTAGAGACGGGGTTCCGCGATGTGGGCCAGGCTGGTCTCGAATTCCTGACCTCAGGTGATCTGCCTGCCTCGGCCTCCCAAGCTGCTGGGATTATAGGCGTAAGCCACCGTGCCCGGCCTCAATTCCTTTTTATCTTTGGTTCTTCTATTTTATGTTTATTTTTTTGAGAGGGAGCCTCACTCTGTCACCAAGGCTGGAGTGCAGTGGAGCGATCTCAGCTCACTGCAACCTCTGCCTCCCGGGTGCAAGCAATTCTCCTGCCTCAGCCTCCCAAGTAGCTGAGACTACAGGCGCATGCCACCACGCCCGACTTTTTAGTAGAGACGGTTTCCCCGTGTCATCCAGGATGGTCTGGATCTCCTGACCTTGTGAACCACCCGCTTCGGCCTCCTGAAGTGCTGGGATGACAGGCGTGAGCCACTGCACCCGGCCTCTTCTTTCTATTCCTACCCCTTACTATTTGGTACCCTTCCCAAGTGTCTTTCCTTTTTCTTACCAAGACATTTCACTTGAGTGGGAGGGGCTGCAGAAACAAGGATACAAATTAGATTTTTTCCCCCCATATGCCCAATTGCTCACTTCTCCTTTAAGGGAATAGTCAATGGTTTTCAAGTTCCCAAATATTTCTTTTTGCCCCTCTCCGTTCCTGACAACAGGTAAGAGATCTGTAGCACTTGACACAGTTCAGACCTAGCAGAAAAAGCCACTGTGTCCTCACTTTTTTAGTGCCCTCCCCCTCCAACAAGGTGAGGTTTGTGAAAAAGAGACAAAGAAAACAAAATCAAGCTATCAAAGGAATGACTGGGAAACCAGTAGACCACCTACACTGGGAGGAAAAGGAAAGAGGAGGTTCTTCCCTTTGTGTCCTGAGTGGCCTATTCTTAGCCTCCTCCAGCAAGGAGCCTCAAACCTCCTAATTCTTGCTTTCCCTTAAAATTGTATATGTGTCTCAATTCTAGGCTCCTGTGAGTCACTCTAAGTTTGGATGTGGTGAGGATAAAAGGACAGAGCCAAACTAGGAGCAGAGCTTAGTGTCTTGAGCAATGAATTTACTAATTTGGTATTTGGTGTGAAGTCCAGCGAATCTGATTTATTTTTAAATTGCCTTCTTCTCTGCTTCCCCCTTGCAGCTTGAGGATATGAGAGGTTCATGTGTTACATAACTGTGGCTTTTTACTATTTTATTAATAAGGTAATACCATAGTAATTATTAAGAATGAAAATTTTGGCTGGGCACGGTAGCTCATGCCTGTACTCCAAGCACTTTGGGAGGCTGAGGCAGGCGGATCACCAGGTCAGGAGTTAGAAACCAGCCTAGCCAATGTGGTGAAACCCTGTCTCTACTAAAAATACAAAAAAAAAATAAGCCAGGTGTGGTGGCAGCCGCCTGTAGTTCCAGCTACTCGGGAGGCTGAGGCAGAAGAATCAGTTGAACTCAGTAGGCAGAGGTTGCAGTGAGCCAATATTGCAACATTGCACTCCAGCCTGGGCAGCAGAACAAGACTCTGTCTCAAAAAAAAAAAAAAAAAGTAATTTTACTTTATTCCCAAGCAACTTTAGCTATTTGCAGATAATCTTATTTGTCCTCATAAAAACTTTCTAAGGCACTTTTCCCTTTTCTAACTAGGGAAACTGAGGCACAGGTCACACCAGGGACTTGTCTAGTGACTTGTCTAACATCATGCAGCCACACAGTGGTAGAGCTGGAACTGGATCTCAGCTATCCCAACATCCAGGCTAGTGGTCTGACCACTAAACCACACAGTCTCTTTTTTTAGGGTTTGTTGACCTGGTTTTTATTTATTTATTTTTCCTTTTCCTCTGCCCTGCTAGCAACTGGAAGCTCCCAGATAGAAGAAGACAATGTTGAGTCCAGGCTGAACATTTGACATCGTCTTACTGGTGGAGCATTATCCTGGGACTTGGCGGGTGCTGGCTGCTGGGGTCTGTGTGGTGGAGCTGGGAACCAGCCCCAAGAATATAGCTTTGTTTGGGCATTAACCCATTTGTGGTTATAATAATGATAAGTTTCAGCACCAGTGGCGCCTGACTGTTAATGACTCAAAGGAGGCTAAATAAGAACAAGATGTCATCTCTGGAGTAATTTGTAGGTTTTTCCTACAGTTCCATCCCTTCCATAAAAATCCGACGGATCCTTGTCTTCAAAGTCAATCTTCCACTCTGAATGTCCTGAACAGTCTATTGAGGAGAAGGACTTAGAAAAGAGTAGGAGGTTGCTAGAGTAAGGCTTCACCGAAATTTCGAGTTTCACCGAAATAACAGGTGGCCTTACTGGTAGTGGAATTACTGACTGTTTACATTTTTCTTCTTTATATTTTTCTGTAGTCTTAAATTTTTCTATAATAGGCATGTATTATAACCTGAAAACAAACAAAAATAAATGAGTAGCATGAAAATCTTTTTTTTTTTTTTTTTTTTTCAGTTGGAGTTTTGCTGTTGTTACCCAGACTGGAGTGCAATGGCACAATCTCGGCTCACCACGACCTCTGCCTTCTGGGTTCAAGCAATTCTCCTGCCTCAGCCTCCTGAGTAGCTGGGACTACAGGCACGCGCCACCATGCCCAGCTAATTTTTGTATTTTTAGTAGAGACGGTGTTTCACCTTTTTGACCAGGATGGTCTCGATCTCTTGACCTCATGATCCACCCGCCCCGGCCTCCCAAAGTGCTGGGATTATAGGTGTGAGCCACCGCGTCTGGCCAATTGAGGACATTTTTCAATGAAACATACACTACATCAGTCTTAAGAATAGTAGAAATATATAAGAGTTGTTAAAATCAAGTGTATTTTTTATGACTTCGATGTGAAAGAAAGAAAACAAAAATGTGAGCCTTTGATCTAAATTGACTTTTCAGGTTCTTAACTTATCATAATGTATTCCTTAAAATTTTACCAAAAAAAATCACCCAGGTAAATTGGTAAGTCAGAAGACAACTCCACAATCTTGAAAAGAGGCAAGAGGCTGGTGATACGTATTGATCAGAAATAGAGAGCGTTAGATATTAAAGGCAGTACTACAGCATGAGGGATGGAAATATCAAATTCTGAACAATAAGAAAAACACCCACAAGGGAGAGAATATATTGAGACTATTTTCTGTTTTGTTTGTTGTTTTTTGAGACAGAGTCTCACTCCATCATCCAGAAAGGATTGCAATGGCACTATCTTTGCTCACTGCAACCTCCACCTCCCGGGTTCAAGTTATTCTCCTGCCTCAGCCTCCCGAGTAGCTGGGACTATAGGTGTGCACCACCATGCCTGGCTAATTTTTGTATTTTTATTAAAGATGGGGTTTTGCCATGTTGCCCAGGCTGGTCTCAAACTCCTGACTTCAAGTGATCCACCCACCTCTTATAAAATGGTATAAATAGCCATGTATAAAATGCCCAGACTAGGTATGGTGGCTCATGCCTATAGTCCCAGCACTTCAGGAGGCCAAGGCAAGAGGATTGCTTTAGCCCAGGAGTTTGAGACCAGCCTGGACAACATATAGAGACACATCTCTACAAAAAAAATTTTTTTAAATAAATAATTAAGATAATAAAAAACTAAAAACTAGCCAGGTATGATGGCACACACTTAAAGTCCCAGCTACTTGGTAGGCTGAGATGGGAGGATAACTTGAACCCAAGAGTTCAAGGCTGCAGTGAGCCATGGTCATGCCACTGCATTTTTGGCTGAGTAACAGAGTGAGACCCTGTCTCTAAAAAACAAACAAACAGGCTGGGCGCGGTGGCTCCCAAAGTGCTGGGATTACAGGCATGAGCCACCACATCCAGCATTTTTTTTTTTTTTTTTTTTGAGATGGAGTTTCGCTCTTGTTACTCAGGCTGGAGTGCAATGGTGCGATCTCGGCTCACCGCAACTTCTGCCTCCTGGGTTCAGGCAATTCTCCTGCCTCAGCCTCCTGAGTAGCTGGGATTACAGGCATGCGCCACCATGCCCAGCTAATTTTTTGTATTTTTAGTAGAGATGGGGTTTCAGCTTGTTGACCAGGATGGTCTCGATTTGTTGACCTCATGATCCACCTGCCTCGGCCTCCCAAAGTGCTGGGATTACAGGCATAAGCCACCACATCCAGCCTTTATATATATATATAGAGAGAGAGAGTTTCCCTCTGTTACCCAGGCTGAAGTGCAGTGTCACAATCACAACTACAACTCATTGTAGCCTGGAATTCTTGGGCTCAAGTAATTCTTCCACCTTGGCCTCCTGAGTAGCCGGGACCACTGGTGCATGCCACCACACCCAGACAATATTTTTATTTTTGTAGAGACAGAGTCTTGCTAGGTTGTCCAGGCTGGTTTCGAATTCCTGAGCTCAAATGATCCTCCTGCCTTAGTCTCCCACAGTGCT